GATATATTTGCTAATTATATAGTTCAATTAGACCATTAAAAAAGTATAGTCTTAAAAACCGTGGAAAGGGGCACCTGACTGGCTTAGTCAGTTAAGTGTCGGACTCTTGATTCCCGCTCAAGTCATGATTTCAGTCGTGTGGGGCTCTTGCATTGGGTATGGAGACTGCTTGAGATTCTCTCTCTCCCTCTGCCCCTGCCCAGCTTGTGCTCTCTGTAATTAATAAACAAACAAATAAGCAAGCAAATAAATAAATAAATAGGTGCCTGGGTGGCCAGTTAAGCAACTGACTTTTTTTTTAACGTTTATTTATTTTTGAGAGAGAGAGGATGAGCAGGGGAGGGGCAGAGAGAGAAGGAGACAGAGGATCTGAAGTAGGCTCCTCACCAAGAGGGGAGAGCCCAATGTGGGGCTTGAACTCACAAACCACAAGGTCATGACTTGAGTTTAAGTCAGATGCTTAAATGACCGAGCCACCCAGGCACCCCAAGCAACTGACTTTTGATATCAGCTCTGGTCATGATTTCATGGTTCGTGGGATCGAGCCTGGCATCAGGTTCTGCACTGTGTGTGGAGCTGGCTTAGGATTCTCCCTCCCTCTCTCTCTGCCCCCCGCCCCCCACTCATGCACATACACACTCTAACAAACTTAAAAAGCCATAAAATAAGAGTGATTTTTCCCACATCAATGGGAAAAAGAACAATGAAAATTATTCAGTAAGTAGTATCAGGAAAAGTGGGATTAACTAGCTACCTACAAAAACAAAGAAATAAATCTGGGCAGCTACTATATTCCTTGCACCAAAATAATTCCAGATAATGAAACCATAAAACATATTAAAAACATGAGAAAAAAACTTTTATAATCCAGGTGAGTAAGACCTTCTGAAGTAAAGAAGAAAACCCAGAAGCCATAAAACACAAGACTGATAGATCCAACCAAGGAAAACTTCAAATTTGTGCATGGTAAATTACCCAAACCAAAAACAAATGGTAATACAGGATAGAAAATGACTAATTCCCTTAATATTTACAAATCAAGAGGATAAGGACCAAAATGCACCAGAAATATGAGCAAACAGACAATTTGCAGGGGGAAAAAAAAGGCCTACTGTAAAATGCTAAACTTCAAAGAAAATATACAAAGTAGGACCACAGGACACAGATTTTCACTTAGATTGTCAAAGATCAAAATGTTGGTTAGGGTATATAGGAAAACAAAAGCAGTCATATTGCTCTAGTGTTAAACTGGTAAAATCTACTTGGAGGGCAATTGTGCTTCTACTCTCTAAATGTACAGACTCTTCGATCTAGCAATTCTCTCTTCAGGAGTGCATTCTATAGACATACATAGACACCAAGACATAACTATAGAGAAGGACATTTCACGGCAGCATGGTTTACAGCAGCAAGATTGCAAATAGCCAAACTGACCAAATTTAGTCTGAAATAACTGGTACCCCAGACAGTAGAATAAGAGGGATGATGCAGATCCAAGATTCATCATTTTAAAGAGTAATCAAGGTGCAGAACAGTATATGTATTTATGCATATTTACAGAAAAAACAGGGTAGGGTGGGTGAATGTATTCAAGGTACACCAGAACAGTGGTTCTAACGGTGTGAATCTCAACCAGCAACAATAGCACCTGGGAATGTTCAGAAAACCAAATTACTGTGGCCCCACTCAGAACTAATGTGGAACTCGCAAGAGAAAAGTCCAGCAATGTGTGTTTTAATATGCCTTCTAGGTAATTCTAAAATTTTTTTTTAATGTTTTTATTTTTGAGACAGAGACAGACAGAGCATGAGCAGGGGAGGGGCAGAGAGAGAGGGAGACACAGAATCTGAAACAGGCTCCAGGCCCCGAGCTGTCAGCACAGAGCCTGACGCGGGGCTCAAACTCACGAACCGTAAGATCATGACCTGAGCCGAAGTCAGAAGCCCAACCGACCGAGCCACCCAGGCACCCCGCCTTCTAGGTAATTCTGATGCATGCTCAAGTTGAGGAACTGCTGTGATAGAGCATCTTTAAAGATACCCAGAAGAGTGGTAAGAGTTGTTATATCTAGGGAATGGATAGATTACTTTGGTATGTTTGGATTTCCCCTCCATGTGTATTTATCACCTTTTTTGAATAAAAGATTAATTGGGGTGCCTGGTATTAGGGGCACCTGGGTGGCCCGGTTGGTTAAGCATAGGACTTTAGCTCAGGTCATGATTTTATGGTTCACGGGTTTGAGCCCCGTGTCAGGTTCTGTGCTGACAGCTCAGAGCCTGGAGCCTGCTTCAGATTCTGTGTCTCCCTCTCTCTCTCTCTCTCTGCTCCTCCCATGGTTGTGCTCTGTCTCTCTCAAAAATAAATAAACATTAAAAAATTAAAAAATAAAATAATTATCAAAACCTGCCACTTTGATGCAAACGGTAGGAAAGTTCAGTTTCTAGAAAACGGAATTATGAGTTCTGAATTATGACTCAAAAAAACAAAACCAAACAAAAAAACAAAACAAAAAAACAGCAGCAGCAGCTGGGGCGCCTGGGTGGCTCAGTCAGTTGAGTATCTGACTCTTGATTTTGGCTCAGGTCACAATCCCAGGGTCATGGAAACGAGCCACGTGTCAGGCTCTGCTACTCTGCACTGAGCATGGAGGCTGCTTAAGATTCTCTCTCTTTGCCCTTCTCCCCTACTCACACTCTAGCTCTAAAAGAGAGGAAAAAAAAAAAAAAGAAAAAAACACAACAGCCTACTTTAGACCAAGATTTCAACGTGAAAGATAAAGCATATCTATAAATGACCATGTATGGTTTGGCATAGCAGAGCCAAAGTCTGGTGATAATGAACTTGTTATTTATTGAGGTAAGGTTTTTCAAAAGAAGAAAAACCTTCTGAGAGGTTTCATTAGAATGAGGCAGATTACCCTTCTGTAGAGAATAACAAAAACCCAGAATAAAAGCCAAGACAAAGAGAAAAATTGAACTTTTTTTTTTTTTTAAAAAAGCACAAAAACCCTACATACTAAAATTGTACACATCAAGTATTGGTCCAATCTTATATCAATCTATTTACATTAAACAGCACCATGGTTTTCTCATCCAGGTTAGTTAAACATGCCCAGAAAATTGTTATGCAAAGTATATTTTCCTTTAAAACAAAATAAATTCTTGAGAGCTCAAATTCTAAACAAACAAGAAAACTTCTTACCAACCATAGATTATTGATGATATCACCCAATGTAACTTAAGAAAAATAGGTTTGAACACTTTTCCAGTTGTCTGACTTTGAGAGATGTTGCTATTAGTCAATGTGGCACACAAATGACAACGAAACTCTTCGATGACAGGGCGTTACAGTCAAATACCCTCAAACCTCTACCTTCAAATGTCAAAATACTCCTTCGGAATGAACGCTGCTATCGTCTCTTGAATTTAGATTCAATTATTAGCAATCCTAAATTAAATGTAGCCACAATCTTTAAGATGATTGCATAAAGAAAGGGAAGTAAAGCTCTCAGAAACAGAAGTTACAATTACAGATATTATATCTAATCAGGCTATAGGAAATTTAATGCCATTTTAAACTTTACATTTAACTAGCAGTTTCATTTTGCCATTAAAATTAATAATAATAGTGCTTCTCATCCAAATAGGTGTGGAGGTCTGATCATTTTCCAGGGAGAGCAGTATAAGCACCTTCCTGCCTCTACCTTGCCATCTCACCGAGGCTCGGGGCTACAGTGATTATGGGATAGCCCCCTTCTCATTTGTGGAACTTCGAAAAGGCTCCAAATTAAATATAACCCTTGGCAGCTTTATTCCAGTCATAGTATGAGAGAATCAGGCGCTCTCATCAGATTTTTTTGTCTTCTCATCTAATCTGCAGATGGTTCTTAACTGGACTCTTTGCTAGGAAAGATGAGAGAGGAAAATTGTCATCCACCACAAGTAGAGGTAACAGTGAACTGGAAAGCACTAACATATAAAGCAATATTTCATCATTTGGTCTCACTGCTGATGTTTAAGCGATGTCCGTAAACATACTAGTAAATTAGGAGTTGAAATTTTCTCTTAAAGACTGAAAATAGGCACAATTCTCCCAGGCACAGATACAATGGGTTTTCCTTACACCCTTCCTGCAGAGTGGGGGAGAAGAGAGAATTTACCTTATTATCTTATAGTGGGAACACTTGCCCTTGATTCCTTGCATTCCCTGGCCCAGTGCATTTGGGGGAACATGCTGAAAAGTCCCAAGCACAGTAGGTAGATGAATTGAAGGTATTACATTGTAGCGACCTTCTAAGCCTGGATATAAAAACAGCTTCATCATAGAGACATTTCAAAATATCTATGCAGCAAATGGACAAGTGACTTTTCAAGTGAGTATCAGCTGAAAATCAGAGATCTGACTGCACTAAATTATTGCCTAGTGTTCCAGAAGGGTGCCTGCCACCAATGTGTTGGAAGGCACCAAAATTTAGTGTGAATGTAAATAAGGAGCTCAAGATATGGGGATGGGGAAAGCAATACTAAAACACAATTTGCCAGTCTCTACTCCTTTATGGCTAAATACTATTGAGCAAAGAATCAAGACCAGAATAGAAATGAACCTTGAATACTGCTCTTTTCAGTTTCCATTTTAAAAAGCTCAAGTTTTATAACTGTTATTGATGATTTCTTGAATCTATTTTTTTTTTTTTTTTGATTCTGTATTCACAAGGTGCTTGGTGCTGTTCTTCATGGACATAACATTCTATTTACAGTCCAAATTGTTTAAATACAGTCATTACATTGTTGTTGGCTATTTTAAAATAAATGGTTATCTGTTTTTTAACTGCCTTACAAATTAGAAACTGTAATTACATGAGTCTCAAAGGCTGGCTCTTTGTGTTTTATTAATTATTTTTGTTGGTCTCCATCACAGATGGAATTTTTCACTGGTAATTCCTCAGAACTAAATCCATTCATACGGAATTCAGAGCAGTGAAAATAAATTTCACGCCATAGAGTAGGAAATGACAACAACAATAAAAAGGGGTGGGAGGGACCTGGGGACCAGCCAATAGGACCAATCAGTTCTCCACTGGTGTTGGGTTTTGCAACGGCTGGCTCATTATAACCTGTACAACATAGTCCTTTGGGATCTTCAGCTCTTCCAACTTCATTTTGTCGGTGAGAGGTCTGCCAGAAAAGAACCATCGCTGACTACTCGGTTCCACTCCTTCTGCTGCATGTAGCCTCCTCTTCATGTGATATACCGTGTCTGTGCTGCGGACCACAAGTTTGAGGTCTTTGCCTGTGGAAAGGCGCAAACGGAGCTGACATTCGTATCCAGAATTAGGTGGTGGCTCAGGAATATCCAGAGTCTCTATGTCGCTCTTTTCCTCGATCATGTTGATTGGTGGTGCCAAGCAATAGACTGGAAGCTGGTATCTGTTTCCCAGTTCATCATAGCACTCTGTAAGTGCACCTTCAAAAAGAGAAGATATGAGTAAGAGTTTCAGCTCAATGAATGCATTTTTATTTATACCCTACAAAATGCTCAAGCCTCTTGCTAGCTTGCCACTGTAGAGGAGAAAAAATATATAAGGCCAATCACTGCCAGCTGCTCATCAAAGATCATCATGAAGGCCCATGGCCAATTATTTGGTCTTAACCTTACCTTAACCAGGACCCTAGCTCCTTACCCTCACGTTTTTCTAAGCCATTTCATACCTAATTCACACTTTCATTAAAAGAGGATAAAGGAAAAGAGGGGCACCTGGGTTGCTCAGTCGGTTAAGCATCCAACTCTTGATTTCAGCTCAGGTCATGATCTCACGATTTGTAAGATCGAGCCCTGCATCAAGCTCCTTGCTGACAGCATGGAACCTGCTTGGGGTTCTCCCTCTCCGTCTCTCTCTTTGCCCCTCCTCCACTGGTGCTTGCTTTCTCGCTCTCAAAATAAATAAACTTAAAAAAAAAAAGGTAAAGGAAAAAAAAAAGCACACAGAATCCAAACTTACTAATATTATTAGTGTTTGGACCAAGTTAAGGGGATATTCAAATTGTGCTGGGATATCTTTTAAAGAAATAAATCAGTGACCTTAACAACAACCAAAAAAGCAAAAAACAGATCTCTAAACCCAATTCACCCCAACACAGTGTTCCAGAGCAGTTCCCTCAGTGCCTCAACTTCCTAAATACTTAGCCAAAAGTCCTTCGTCAAAGACACCACAAACTGGAGATGATGAGCTTACCAGCTGCTCTGGCTTCTGGCTTATAGATGAACCTCATTTGCACAATCACCACAAAAATGACTGAGGGGTTTTATTTAACCCCAATTAGTTAATCTGTTACAGAGAAGTTATGGGTTGAAAAGGAAGAACAAAAGGGGTAAGAAGTTTATAACCAGATAGCTCAGGGGAGAGAAAAAAATCATTTATGGTTTAGAAGGAGGTATTAATGACTGATTTCTTTATAAAGCATAAATTGCATTATAATTACCAGGACTTCCCCTGGGAAGCTTGAAAGAATACATAATGAATGTTTTCTTACAAGGTTATTCATATCACGTCCTTTGTTCAAACTGGAACATTAATGTCAGCTGATTATCAATTTGGATAAAAAATAAAAACATCTACCATATTCAAAACACTCACACAGGCTAATGAGAATGGGGTTGGGACACTGAGAAATACTTATTAATGAACAAATAAGTCAATGAACTGAACTTTGTAGCCACTATCAATAGGCTGAAAATATAAGGCATCCAAAATGAGACTGGAACAGTCACCAGCCCACCATGACTTCTGTCTTCTAAATTACATGAAAACGGGCTGGGGTGAGAATTCAGTCACCAAGCATAACACACGTGAATCTCCCCTTTCCTCTGTGTTTAAATTTTTTTTAATGTTTATTTATTTTTGACAGAGAGAGAGAGAGAGACAGAGCATGAGCAGGGGAGGGGCAGAGAGAGAGGGAGACACAGAATCCGAAGCAGACTCCAGGCTCTGAGCTGTCAGCACAGAGCCCGACGCGGGGCTCGAACTCACCAACCGCGAGATCATGACCTGAGCCAAAGTCGGATGCTCAAGTGACTGAGCCACCCAAGTGCCCCTGTGTTTAAAGATATCATTCAGCCTCTGTGTTGTTCACTAATTAATGCGAATGCTAGGACATTGCAGAAATGGATACACTTCAAGCACAGTTGCAGTACCAACGCTATTTATAAATAATGGTAGAGTCAGTTGTGCAAACTTCACTATTTATATAGCCTAGTCCTGAGGCAAAGAAATCTACTAGTGTCTTCCAGCTGGGCTGGCCACCAGGAGAACTAGGAGAGAGAACATGGAGAGTTCACTAAAGACCCATCACCTCTATTAAGGAAACACCTCAGATATATATCCCACTGATATTGCTGGGGGGAGGGGGGGGGTCAGTATGGTCAGCCTAAGTACCAGAGCATATCTACATAATTGTTCTGCTAGAAAAACATTCTTTTAGAGGAGCACCATTCCAAATCATTACCTTCGAAATCTAGAGACCAAGATGAAACTCCCAGCCTTGCTATTAACTAGCTGTGCAACCTTAAGCAATATTCTTTAACCTGAAATACGCTTCTCACTCAGCAAAATGAGGCAGGAGAAAATCTCTAAAGTGGTTTCCAGGTTTGCATGTGCTGCTTTGTCGTCAGTGCCATGACAGATATAAAATAGCAGGTCTGCAAACAAAAGCAGTCAAATGGCAAGCAGAACCATGTCCAGACTGAAAGACAGCTCTTTAGAAAAGGACTAGAGGTGTCATAGCAGCTTTTGTACATTGCTACAACAGGAGTGCATGCCAATCTCAAAACAAACATACAATCAAATAGGTACTTTGGCTCTTTTTACATCTGAATGCCCCTATGCCATAGATAGCAGACTTCTCTCTC